AGAAATAGGAGCCTCAGGCTGGGCAGATGAGTCTGAGTCTGTTGGTAAAGGTCCTTGCTGCATAGGCCTGATGACCTAAGCTTGACCCCTGGGACCCTTAGGAGGTGGAAGGAAGGAACTAATGCTACAAAGTTGTCCTTTGACCTCCACATGACTCAGCGCACACCCACCCACACACATGGAGTATTTATAGAGAGATAGACTATATTGTTGTGTGCATGTACATATGACAATAATAAATCTGAAACTCCGTTAAAAAAAGGAAAAAAACAACATAGGAGTCTCAGCCATCCTCCTGCCTCAGCCTCTTGCTTGCTGGGATTACAAGCACAAGCTCTAAAGATTTTGAAATAGGCTTACATTCACTTACATTGCTGTCTTTGGAGTATGAGGAGTGTTTTACTCAGACTACCCTGCTTCTTCTTCAGGCTCCCATGTTCCCGTTGTCTCTCTCTCCTACGGTACAGCATGGTGTGTGGCAACCGACTGGACCCCAGGGCCCAATTCATCATGGTTCCACCTGCTGAAACATACCTCTCTTCTCCTCAGACCCCCTTTTCCCCGGCCAGGAAGGAACACATAAGCCATAAGCAGGCTGGAAGATTTTCTAAGAAAAGGAAGGCATGAATTTCATGAAGGAAGACAGCTGCAGCAGAGGGAGAAGCCCAGGACTATGAAGGGGCACCTGCTTGATCTTGAACTTGGAAATTTCTCATGATCTGTGCAGAGCAATGGCAGGAGCCAGGAGAAGCCATGTCTGCTAAAGCTCTCATGAGGCTTCAGTTCAGGAGGTGCCTGGGTTGCAGAGAAGGTGCCCTCGGGGTGGGTGATGCTTTTATCTTGGATGCTTTTATCTAAGGAAGCTACTGGGGGGGTTCTGCACCTCTTTCTCTCTTTGTGCATACCTCATTGCCTTTGGCTCATCGGAAGCAGCATGGGACCCCCATCAGATGCAGCTCTTTTGGCTGACCCCCTGGCTTCCAGAAGCGCAAGCTGAACCCAAGTCTTTTCTTTACAAATGACCCAGTCTCTGTACCAGTATGGCAACAGAAAGTAGAATCAGAGACTGGCATTTTAGGGATAAGCCAGTTTCACACAGCTAACAAGCATCAGGGTGAAGAATCAAAAGCCCGGGCAGGTGGGTGCCAGCACAGGGTGAGTAACTGTTCTACCACTTCCCCTTTGCTATACTGTGGGGAAAACATTAAACATGTCAAAATAATCCACTAATCAATCAAGAGCATTGATGGAGAAGCCCAGCGGGAAAGGCGGCAATGAGGCTGGGGTACGTGTAGTTCAGTTTGTGCAATGTTCGTCTAGCATGTGCCCTGGGTTCCATCCTCAGTACTGGCTAAACATGGCATGATAGCACATGCCTGAAATTCCAGTACTCAGGGATAGAGGCAGGAGGATTAAAAAGTTCAAGGCTAGAGAGATGACTCAGCAGTTAGGAGCACGTGACAGTTCCTGCCAAGGACGTGGGTTTGGGTCCCACCACCTGAGTGGCAGCTCACAATCACCCATAACTACAGTTCCATGGGACACAACCACCTTATTCTGACATCTGAGGGCATCAGGCACACCCGAGGTAGACAGACATACACACAAGCAAAACATGCATGTAAAATAAATATTTAAAAATAAATAAATTAGATAAAAATACTGCCTTTAAAAGTCCAAGGCCATTATCTGATACCTAGTGAGTTTGAGGACAGCCTGGGCTACATGAAACCCAGAAGAATGAAAAAGAGAGAAACAAGGAAGAAGAAGAAAGAGAAAGGAAAAGAAGAGGGCAAAAATAAGAAACCTAAACAAGGCACATTCTTCACTCGATGGACCAAAGGACACGTGGAGGTTTGTTCGGGACACTCCGGTGTCTTTACCCCAACACTTGGAATCATCAGAGTTTCTGATTTCAGGTTTTCATTTTTGGGTTTGAGGATATTTGCATAAAATATGAGCATTGTTGGGAGTGAGGCCTGATTAACTATGTTTATGAGCATTTTATGCACACAGTTTAAAAAGCAATTTGAATTGAATTTGTGTGTGTGTGTGTGTGTGAGTGCGTGCGCACACATGTGCGCATGTGAGCAGAGGACAGAAAGTGTGCTGATACCCTGGAGCTGGAGTTACAAATGATTATGAGGGGATCAGCATGGGTGCTGGGAGCCAAACTCCAGTTCTATAGGAGAGCATCGAGTGATCTCTTAACCGCTGAGCCATCTCTCCATACCCTAAAAGTAACTTTACATAAAACATCTTCAATGGTTTTACATGGGAAACAGTTTGCTGTCACAGAGCTGTCTGTCGGCGTGTGGCATCGTGTGTTCAAGTTTCTGATGTTGGAATGTTTTGGATTTAGGGTTTTTCAGAGTGGGGCTGTTCAGCCCATACTGCCTTTTGAACGCCCTGTGGTGGGATCTGATGTGAGGTGCAGCTTCGCTGCTGTGAGGGTCCCATGGTCTTGCAAGAATAAAGGGATAAACCACACACATGACTGAGTTCTCTTGAGCCCACACTGCCCATTGCCACCCTGCACTATGTCCACAGAGCATCCTGGCCAGCCAGTGAGCAATGTTGACTCCTATGGCACTTGTAAACTGTGATGCCGTTATGCCCTTTTAATGATAAAACTGCAGGAGTGGACCCTGAGGGAAGTGGTTGTTTTGAGACAAGATTTCAGCCAGTGAGCAATGTTGACTCCTATGGCACTTGTAAACTGTGATGCCGTTATGCCCTTTTAATGATAAAACTGCAGGAGTGGACCCTGAGGGAAGTGGTTGTTTTGAGACAAGATTTCATGTGCAGCCTGGAAGTCTGCCTTCCACCTGGGAAGGGGTCACTGACCTGTGCCCTCAGGCCCAGCAGAGCAGGGGCTGTCATAAAAACTCAGATGATGGTGGATAAGTTAGTTGTTGATCTCACTATCAGGGAAGGTCAATTTGAGCAACTATAAATGCCCTTCCCTGATAATGAGATCAACAACTAACTTATCTGCCATCATGGAGCCCTCATCTAGTACCTGTTGGAAACAGAAGCAAACACCATTGAACTAGAATCCAGATGCAGACAGAGAGGACAAGACCAGGTTGCAGAAACACATAGAGACAGCTGACCTGAACAAGGAGGAGCTAACCAGCCCCCCCCCCCCAGACTGATAGCTGGGAATCCAGCATGGGACTGACTCAGACCCCCGGAACATGGGTCTCAGCTAGAAGGCCTGAGCAGTCTAAGGGACCTCAGACAGTGGAACCAGGATGCATCCCTGGTGCACAAAAGGACCTTGCGGACACATCCCCCATGGAGGGATAACTGCCTTAACCTAGAGACAGGAGAGAAGTCCTAGTCCCTACTTCAAATGACCTGACAGATTTACATGACCCCACCTGGATGACATAGCCCTACATGTGGAATTGGGGTGGGGAGGGGATGGGAGGGGAGAGTGGTCAGGGTGCATGTGAGGGGGCAGAGAGGGTAAGAGGGAGGGAGAGGGAACTGGGATCGACATGTAACAATAAATAAATAAATTAATTAATTAATGAGATGAAAGCTGCAGGGGGCCTAGTGGAGGTGTTGGTATTCTCTGCTTCAAAAAAAGATAGTGTGTGTTGGTGGGCTACTTATGGGGTTTACAACATTTAGAAGTCAGTGCACCTTTATCCACCCGAAGGGCCTTCAACAGTATATTCGATGTCTGATAATATGGTGGCTTTGTTTTCTAACTCACTAGAGCGTTCCCCAGTGCTCATTTGCCTTTATAACTGGGGTGTGTGTAAGTGTGACCACTGTATTCATGCTTTTTTTTTTTTTTTTTTTTTTTGCTTCTTGTTTCTGTTTTGGTTTTTGAAGCAGGTTTTTGTGTGGCCCAGGTTGGTCTTTAACTGCCTATGTGAGTGAGGTTGACTCTTTGACTCTGAACGCACATCTTCCTGCCTCTGGCCAAAGTGTGCTGGAAATACAGGCATGTGCCGCAAGCCCAGCCCCGCTTCTTTGCCGTTTGTCCCCTTCCTATGTGACTGTGTTAGGCTCTGTTTATACTGGAAAAGGTTTACACTGTTTCAAAGTTTTAAATATATGAATTGATCTCTGAGTTTCACTCAATGACAACAAACTCCCAGATAAGATCTTGATGTGGCCCCACGCTACGAAGGATGTCAAAGTTTAAATATATGTCTACTTGATTCTGTCAGACAGGACACTCATGTGAAACCTAGGTGGTCCTTCCCCCCATAGTGGAGCCCGAATTGAACTGGGGACACAGGCGGGAGCTAGGCTCTGCTTTGTCATTAGCCTTTCTGTCATTGAGACATGATACTTACATCTACAAGTTCACACTCACACTCAAGAACCACACAAGCAAGTTACAAAAAGGATGGATAGCTTCCCCACCATGTCCCGTTGACACCCCCCCCCCCGCTCTCCAGTGAGACCCTTTCTCCCATTGACCCCTCTCCTTTTTATCATACGTTCACTGCTCAACAAAAAACGCACACTCGTTACATGTTTCTGTTACTGATAATTTCCCCTTGATTACTTCTCACCGCTAGCAACCAACCATTGTGTCGCTCACTGGCTGCCTCTACCTCTTTGCCCTCAGGGAGCAGGCCCAGGACCTTCCACAAGGGGTCTCTTGGACCCTCATACATCCTGAATCCACGTGGTCCCTAAATGTGGAAAGAAGCATGACCCACTCTGTCACCTGCAGCCGGAGTCACAGACACCAGTTCTGTACCAGTTAGGGCTTCAATGTCATCATAACAGAAAGGCAGTCACCTGTCTAACAAGAGCTACCAATGCTTTTAATACTCAGCATGGTGGCACTGAGCCAGATCAGAAAGTAGCTGGGCAGTTTGTGACCGGTGAAACGTTTCTTTCCCTATCTGTGGTCATAGACACGGTCATCCCTGAACTGCTCTAGCGAGCCAGCTGAGAACTTGAGCTCTGCAGAGGACCCCTCAGACTCCCTGTACCTCCCGTCCCACTTGGGGGCCCTGCATTACCTCCTGCAGCTTGACCTCCTCAGGCTGGAGGATGTCCAGCACACCGCTGCTCTGAATCTCAGGAAGGTCTTGCCAGAGGTTGAACCTGGAGTGGGGGTTGCTGAGCAGGCAGATCTGAGGCAGAGCCCTCCTCTCAGGTGGACTGGCTAGCTCCTCCTCCTCCTCTTCCTCTTCCTCCTCTGGGGTGTCTTCCCCAGCCTGGGACCCATCAGAGTTGCTTTGTATTTCTGCATCCTGTTGCCTCCGGGTTTCAATTTCTTGGAGAGTCGATTTGTCTCTGTACTCTTGATACAGGAGCCCTGAAATCAAAGAGTTTCAACAAAGACAAGAACAGGATGTCAGGGAAAGGTCTGTTTGAAGCCCTAGCACACACAGAGTAAGCCAGCATGCCCTAGGCCTCAGCAGCAGGTTCTGACCCTGCAGAAGAGACCACCCATAGCCTTCATTGATGGGAAGATCAGCATGTGTAAGTTTCTTCTGACAAGTCAAGAAATCTCTGAGTAGATCCAAAATTGCCTTTCCCACGCACACTGGAATAAAACAAGAATACAGACCTTGATGTGTTAATAGGCATGCATGCAAAATTGATGGAAATGTCCCAATTATGTTTGAATCTCCCACCAGGGTCCTTTCCCTAGCTTTAGATGTTTCAATCAAGTCTATCAGATGTTTCAATATTAAAGCATAAGTCTATGCATCCCTGAACTGGGAGTGGTTGTATGTTTTCATGTTGAATCAGTGTCAACTGAGCCCAAAGGAAACTGTTGCCTCTGCCATTCACACTTGAGGGCATATTCCCTGACAAATCACATTTAAAAACAAAAGTGACCCAAATCTCAGGTGGGAGACTAGGGGTGCTAATGGATCAGTGTAAACTCAGCACCTCACAGGAAAGAAACAAGGCAAGCATTTGAGATATTCTGGCTGCACAACAGAGTGACAGCCAGCCCCTCCACACAGGCTGAAGGTGTGGGACACTGCCTGGCAAGAGGCAGCAGAAGGGTGTTTACCCCAAGAGTCTTGTAGTTCATACTACAGAGGTAGAACTGCCCTAGGGGTCTGTGCAGACCCCAGATAAACAAGCTGAGGTGTCTGCATGCATGGCAGAGAGGACAGGGCCCATGGCATTTCCCAGGACTATAAGAACAAGGCATCAATTAAGTGGGGGGCAGGGCAGAGCCAAGGCCCTAACTCGTGGCATCATTACCAGGTAGAAGACAAGCCCTGTCAGCTAGCTGGCACTGGATCTCCAACAATATTCAGGTAACCAGTTTGGCAGGAGGTCTGATGGCTCCATTGGTGGAGGCAGGGAGCAGAGGACTGGGGTGCCAGAGAGATGCAGGTATACGTGGGCTGCCAGGGGGCCCATTAGACAGCGGGATATACTGACATGGAGTTAGAGGCCCTGGAAAAGGTACTTTCGTCAGGCAAGATCCAATAAGGTTAAGGGGGACGCTTGCAAAGCCTTGCTGTGGAGGCAGCAGGGATGTGAGCCACCATTCCATGCATGTGGCTCGGGATTACATCTAAACAGCAGAAAGGAGAAAAAGAAATGGATCACCGTGGAAATCCTGACAGCAGCGGGAGACATTGCTTTCACTGGCAGGGGTGACTCTGGCACAGATCCAATCTGTGAATTAAATTATTTGCTTCCGACACTTGGTGACTCTGTGACTCCGCATCATGAAGCCTTTACAACAAGGCCGGACAGCCCTGATTTCAGAGGATTAAGATCCTGGGTTTTTGCCGGTTCTCCTATCTGTGGAATTCAACATGGAGTTCATTGGCCAAAGGGGTGCTAAGCAGCATCAGAGTCCATGCTAAACTCCGCCTAGGTTATGCTCTCCAAGGATGGCCTAACGTCACCTCAGAAACTAGTTTAACATACACACATGTGTGCTCGTTTCTGAATGTTGGGGTTCACGTGCATGTGATTGTACATGTATGTAGGCATGCATGTAGAGGGCATGCATCATTCTTCAGGTGCTGGACACCTTGGGTTTTCTTTTTCTTTTGAGACAGATTCCTTATTGGCCTGGGGCTCACCAAGTAAGTTAGGCTAGCTGGCCAGTGAACTCCATGGGTACTCTCTATCTGTCTCTTCAGCACTAGGGTTACAAACATGTGATGGCATGCCTGACTTTCAGTGGGTTCTGGGGGCCGAACCCAAGTCCTCATACTTGTATGTCCAGCATTTTATACCTCCTCAGCCCTCCACAGTAATTATCACGCAGAGAGTCTCACTATGTTTGCTGGGGCTTCCTCCAGGTGACTTAGCAGAATGGGTACTTAGTCATGGTTGAACACCTTTTAAAATCACCATTTCCAAGCTTCCTGAAAGCATCTAACTTAGCATGTTTTAAAGACTCAAAAACACACCTGATGCCACAGGCAGCAAACTGCGGGCAAATACTACCCCAGACTTCTTCATGGTGCATGTGCTGGCAGGAGACAAAAATACCAGCACTGTGGGTAGCCGTGTTGAAAATGGTATTTCTGAAAGTGCTTCACAGTGGACGCCGCCTCTTCCCCGTCCCCTCCCACTGCTGTTTCCACTGAGGAGGGAAGGGCTGGGCTGGACATTCTGTGCTCAGAGAAGTGGGCAGGGACCCACGGCGGCTCTCCCCTCCATCACCAGTGGTGGTGGGTCTCAGAAGCTGCTTTGACACCACTGGGGGACTGAGGTATCTGAATGCTGTCCTTCTCCCCCATCCCCACCCTCCCACTCCCTAGCAATGCCTATGCTGGGATCTAGGACCCAGAGTAAAGTGCTAGGAGGAAGGGCCTTTGGGGAAGTGGATCCCATGAGTGGAGTTTATCCAGGAGAGTGGAGGGTGCTGCACTGTTCTTCTGCCGTGTAGGGCTCTTAGATGACCCACAAAGCAGAGAGAGAGAGAGAGAGAGAGAGAGAGAGAGAGAGAGAGAGAGAGAGAGAGAGCAGCCCTTGCCAGACACAGATCTGCTGGGGGCCAGAACCACCGACTTGCTGCAGAACTCTGAGGGGAAGCACCTGAAACATTATAAATCACCCAGTGTTAGGATTTGGATGTAGCATTTCCCCCCCAAAAGCCCTCCACTGTAGCAATAGTGAAGGGTGGCCTTATGGAAGGTAATTAAGTGACATAGGCATCTGAAAGGTTCCCTCAGAGCTTTAGGTCAAAAAGCAGGTTGTTCTAAAATGAACCCTCTGACCCTGGACCTCTCTACCTTCCCTCTCACAGTCTTACTTTGCTACCTTTTCCTGTGTGTGCCATGGTTCTAACCAGGGCTAAAAGAAATCGGTGCCCTACTCTTAAACCTTAAAAAAGGGGTAGAGGTCTTAGCCTGAGGTATTTTGTCACAGCAACACAAAATATACCAAGACATCCAATCTAAGGTTTGTGTCAGGAAAAGGTAATATCTTCTAAAGGTCTTTCTTTTTTGTTTTATTTTTTGTTTTGTTCTGTTTGTTTTTAAAACAGGGTTTCTCTGTGGTTTTGGAGGCTGGCCTGGAACTAGCTCTTGTAGACCAGGCTGGTCTCGAACTCACAGAGATCCACCTGCCTCTGCCTCCCGAGTGCTGAGATTAAAGGCATGTGCCACCACTGCCCAGCCTAAGGGTTTCTTAAAACCATCTCTGTGGTCCTTTGAGTAAGGATGATCCCCATAGGCTCACATATTCGAGTGCTTGGTTACCAGTTGGTGCACCGTTGGGAAGGATTAGGAAATGTGGCTTTATTGAAGTGTGTCCTTATTGGAGAAGGTGTGTCACTGGGGTGAATTTTCAGGTTTCAAAAGCTCATGGCAGGCTAGTGTCTTCCTCTCCCTCTCCTCTCCGTCTCCCTCTCTTTGCCCGCCTGCCTGCAGATCGGGATGCAGTTCTCAGCGACTTCTCCAGCTCTGTGCCACGCTCCCCGCCATGATGATAACAGACCTCTGAAGCTGTAATGAAGCCCCAATTAAATGCCTTCTTTTATAAGGATTGCCTTGGTCATGGTGTCTCTTCACAGTAACAGAACACGGACTAAGGCAGTCTCCATGAAGACAAACTGCCTTCTTGCCTTTATAGACCTTGCCTTGAGGGTGTGGTTTCTGGAGCTTTAACAGTCACCTCCTAACATAAAACCTAAATAAAGGAGGGAATGTAGGAAAGGAGGCAGGGTGACTGTGTAAGTGAAGGACCCAGCTCTTGAACTCTCATTAAACAAGATGGGCCACCTCCATTGCTGAAGACCCTGTGTTTCTGGATATTGTTACTTCTAGCAAAACACTCATACCAGTCACATTAGAACATTTCAAAGGACTCTACACTCCAGCTCCCACCCTAGGGTTACTGTGATTACAATTGTCTAACACAGCATTTTTCATAATCTTTCATTTTTATCTTAAATTCTAATGTCCATATCAGTACAACAGATTTATCTTGTACAAATTCTGTCTTCAACGTATTGCTAATGTCTCATGGTTTGGCTTCTTGTTTCCTATTTGTGCCACCAGTGAGTGTTCTCCTTGGGTGTTAACCTTCCCTGTCAAAGCTCCCACTTATGTGATCTGCAGGCAGATCAGAAAGGCTTCACTCCCGTTCCTTTCTGAAATGATCCATCCTGGGCTGGCCATGTTCTACTAGAGGGGAAGCCCCTAGTTCCTCTGACCAAAGTACCCCACCCCACCATTCAAAATCTGTCTTCCCGAAGAGAAAGCATTTTTCCTTTAAATCTTCTGAGCCTACTTGGAAAGGGCAAGCTACTCACTTATTAACAAGCAATGTCTATGTGCCAAGCACCATGTTAGGTGCCAGAAACAACGCACAAACACACTCACACCCCCAGCATCCTCAGCCTGACTGGTAGAGAACCACAGAGACAAAACCAGAGTACGGTTTACCCTTAGGCAGCAATCAATTTCCTAGCCTCCTGCTCCATCCTCCCTGGACCCTGGCTGGGAGCTCTGAGCACCAAAGACTGGCCTCTCTAAGAAGTCTTCCTATAAGTTCATACCTTTAATCCCAGTACGGGAGGCAGAGGCAGGTGGTTTTCTGTGAGTTCGAGGCCAGCCTGGTAGAGTGAGTTCTAGGACAGGCTCCAAAGCTACAGAGAAACTGTATCTCAAAACAAAACAAACGTCTTCCTAGGGCTGGGTTTGTCCCACTTCCTCTCTGAAGACCCTGTATCCCTCACAGGGTTTGGCGATGGAAGATACTCATTATATATCAAATGTATTGGAATATAAATGTATTTACAACATACAATTTGTATTTAAGAGAATAGACTGTTGATGGCTCTGACAACATTCCAGAATATTTCAAAGCAGCTAGCATCATGTTCTGATTAACAGGAACCATTCACAGGTGGCCCTGGTGGTAACACCAAAATCGGTTTGATGTCAGTAGCATTTTTTTTTGTTTTTCAAGCGCAATGCTTTGGCTCTTGGGACACCTCACTCCTCTGATGACAAGGGCTTCCTCCCAGCTCTGGCGGAGCAGGACCACCAAGGGCTGATCCCTTGGGGCCATCCTGGGTCACCTTCCTGAAAGAGTCTCTTCCTCTTCTGGGGAGGGGGGAGCCAGGAGCCCTCCTGCCTTGATCATTTCCACTCATGCAAAGAGGGCTCAGCCAGCCTGGCTCTTCCCAGAGCTCCCGAGTACGGCTTCAACTCATGGCTACCTTCCAGTCCTCTCAGGACCTCCCTGAAGAGGCCAAGAAAAGCTCCAGCCCTTTTCTCCAGCCAGACTACTTCATTCCCCATCTCGGGAAGAAATGACCAGAAATAGCGTTTTCTGCAGGGAAAGGGCTGGACCAAGAGTGTTCTCCAAGAGACATCAGGATCAAAAGCCACTGCTACAGCCCCGCATAGAGTCTCAAGTTCTTGAGGCAAGGGGCCTGCACGAGGTCCAGGCTAGCCTGAGCTACTGAGTGAAATTCCAGGCCAGCCAGGGCTGCGGTGTGAGACTCAGTCTCACAAATAAACCACAATCCCCAGCTAAATTAACTCAGTGGTGCAGCACTAATAAAGCACGACAGTTATGCATAGGAAACCATTAGAACCACTCCCGTCAAAAGCTGCGCACCAGCCCAGCAGCCAGCTCCCACCCCGGACTCCACCAGGCTTGTATGGCCCAAAGAAGCCTCTGCCCGCCCGGCACTCACCTATTTGTTCAATAAGGTTTCTCCAGGAGTCGGCGGGAATGGGATGGATCATCTGCAGGGCCTCGGTGAGTGTGGTGGGGCTGTCGGTGAGGGCCGGGCACTCCTCGGGCGTGGTCCCATTTCCAGGGGTGGAAGATGACTCGCTGTAAGAGAGGGAGGAGAATGAGGGCCGTTTATTTTCAAGCAACGACACACCTTGGCTAGATCGCAAGAGGCGACTCTCCGTCGTTGGCACAAGCGGCTACTGGCCAGGGGTACTGCCTCGCGCACATTAAATCCGAGGGGGCCACAGTGGCCGCCACGTGTCCGGGCCAGGCGAGTCCTACAAACCCTTTTTTGTCACCATACCAGGGTGCGACAGGGTGATTCACTCCTACACCAGTCCGCCCAAACCTTCATGTTTTTTGAGCTCGCGGGCAGGCGTCGGAAACTTGGCGTACCCTGGCCGCTCTGCAGCTCAGAAGGCCGCCCCAACGGGTCCTGCCAGCCAGCTGCCACCCTATGCCCCTTAGCCTTCGCGCGCCCCCTGACCCCACTCGGGGGGTCTGGTCCTCCAGTCCCAGAGACTCGGAGCGCAGAGAGGGGCGCAGGGCAGGATACACGTTCTGGAGGTCCAGGGATAGGGTGCAGGAGGCCACCTCACGCAGGAGCTAGTAACCTAGACTAGGACGTACGGGTTTCCCAAGGGGGAATGCAGGTCCGACAGGTTAGAGTTAGTGGGGGGCAGCAGGAGCCCGGGGGGCAGGGACTCTGATAGGCCGCCGGGGTCCGTGAACATCGCCCGAGGCGTGAGTGGGAGGAAGTACTCAGGGACCGCATGCGGGGGCCGGGATGCTACCGGTCCTCACCTGCCAGGCAGGTGTCCCGCCGCCGAGTCGCGCGTGTCGCTCTCCGAGGTGGAGCTGTCATGGTCCACGGCGCAGGCGGCGCTGAAGGCTGCAGCAAGCAGCTCCATGGGGACAGGCGACAGGGCAGGCGCAGGGGCCGATTGGGGGCCGCGCGGGGGGCCCAGGGCCCGGCCGGGGGCAGCGCGCGGGCTCTGGAGAGAGGTCGCAGCGCGCGCGGCTGGAGCCGAAGCTACCGCCGCCGCCGCTGCCGCTGTCGAGCGCTCCCGCGGGCGAGAGCGCGCCTGGAGGCTCCCGGGGTTGCCACGGCAACGGGGGAGGCGGGCCGGGCGCGCGCGGCGGGGGCGAGGCCGGCGGCGGCGGCGGGGTGGGGGCGCTGGGGCCCGGTGCACCCGGACCAGGAGGCGGTGACTCCCCACATGGACCGGTGCCCCGCGGCGCGTGCCTCCCCCGCGGCTGCTGGGTGGCAGGAGACGCGGGGACAGAGGGACTGCGAGCTGCGAGCTGCCTCAGCCAGTCTCCCCATCCTTTTTGTGGGCCGGTTGAGGCAGCTCCGCCTCGGGTTCCTGGAAGACGCACGGTGACCCTCGGTCCCATCCCTAGATCTGCGCCTTGCACACAGCTGGGACTCTTGACAGTTTTCATTACAGTTGAGTCTCTTAGATTGTGTCTGTCACTCGACCTAGGGAATGTATGCCCTCTAATTCCAGCTGGAGGAGAAACTGCTTGTCCCCTGTACTCCTGCTCTTGACCCTTACTCTGTGTGTGTGTGTGTGTGTGTGTGTGTGTGTGTGTGTGTGTGTGTGTGTGTGTGTGTGTGTGTGTGTGTGTGAGGAATCTAGTGCAGACTCTCTCCTGAGTGGATCTCTCTGTTGGAGCAATCTCTCCTAGCGACCCCAGAGGCTGACAGACTGGAGTTAAAGAGAAAGACAGAAGTTTCTGAAACCGCTTCTAGGATTTCCTTGCCCATTGATCTTTGAGATCGGTGCCTTACTGTTTGCTAGCTAATACAGGGCTCAGAAAGTGCAGATAACTGAGAGAAGTAGGTGAGCGGTGTAGCACAAGCTCAGATCCACTCAGAGGGAAAGGGAGCGTGGGCCAAGGCATCAGGCTGCCAGCTCGGGTGTGACATGGAAATCTGGAGGGCTTACTGCCTGGTCCCCTTACCAGGAGGCCAGCCTACTCCTCTTAGTCTGTGTCCAGGTGACAGCTTTGTCTGAAGCAGCTGCAACCAGCTCTGTAGGTACAGATGATTGTGAGCCACCACGTGGAAGCTGGGAACCGAACCCTGGGTCCTCTGCCTGAGTAACAAGTGTTCTTAACCACTAAGATGCTCCAGCCCCAAGCTTTGCTCATTCTTGGACGAGCAGATGGGAGGCAGTGCTGAACAAGTCAGAGAAACAAGGATTGTCATTTGACAAGGCCTGAGTGAGGGGTTATCTACATTTTAATTGTCATTTGACAAGGCCTGCATGTGGGTTTATCTACATCAGCCATTTCTGTGGAGGAATTTTCTTGATTAGGTTAAAGGAAGTGGGAAAACCCAGTCTACCTTTGGCTGTGCCATTCCCTGTTTGGGCCGTGTAAGAGTGACAAAACAAACAAACAAAAGACCCCAAACCTAAGCTAAGTGGTCTAGGCACGCACATGTCCATATCTCTCTGCTCTTGACTGTGGGTGTGGTGTGGCTAGCTGCTTCAAGTCTCTGCCTTGACTTGAGTTAAATAGACCCTCTCTCTCCGTAGTTACTCTAGAGTTAAATAGACCCTTTCTCAACGTAGGTGCCGCAGGAAGGATCTTCCATCCCAGCTTGCATGTTTCCCTGACTCAGTGAGGAGGATTAGAAGTGGCATAAAGCCCCCTGAATCCTGAAGCTGCAACTCATCTCTAGTTCCCCAAGACACACACTTCTCTCAAGTCTCAAGTGACAACCTCCAGGTCTTCTCCCCAAACCCTGCACCTGCCTTAGTGATTCTGTCTCCTGGATACTGACTGCTCCCTCCACCCAGCTTCTTCCTTCTACAGTTCTGTTTGCTCCATGGCCATCCCCATCATTACCACCCCAGGCTCTGCTCCCGCTGCCACCATGAAGCATCAGAGATGAGGCAGCTTCTGAACGATGCAAGTCTATCTCTTACAGCTCTGGAGGCTCATGTCTGAGGATGTGGCAGGGCAGGATCTGGTACTGCAGAGCACTGATTTCTCATTGCATCTTGGCAGAAAGGGAGGGAGGGTGTTCTCTGAGGTTTTTTTTTTTTTTTTTTTAAAAAAAATCTCATTTAAGAGAGATCCATCGTCATGTGGTAGAAGCTTCCCAAAGGTCAGTGCTCTTAACCTCTAAGCCATCTCTCCAGTCCCCAGAAGCTTCCCAAAGGTCACATGTCCTAATAATATCATATTGTGGTGATCATATCAACATCTGAATTTGGAGAATACATTCAGTCCCTAGTATTCTTCTACCGGAGGCTCCCACCCCAATTTACGTCTACATATCCCCAAATTACATTTCATTCATCCGGATAACACAACAGTCCTAACTTCTTGCAGCACCAAGTCTAAAGTCTCATCTAAATCAAGTGTGGTGGGCAGGGTAATTCCTGGGGTGAAAGAAACACAACAGTAACGCGTTAACTATGGTTAAGACTCCAGGTCTGGTTTATCCTCGGATAACACTTCTCACCAGTTGTGAACATCCAAAATCAAACATGACATGCCCTTCTAAATATAGTATTTGGACAGGTGGGGATTGCTGCCCCAGATCCAGAAGGGAGGGTTCACCCAGAAATGAACAAGGTCCACCATCAATGTGGGCAGCACCATTGATGGACAGGGGTCCCAGGCTTAGCGAAAAGGAGAACGCTAGACAGGCCGCTTTGTTCATCTCTGTGCTTCCTGTCCGCGGGAGACAATGGGGCCAACTGCTTCATTCTGCCTCCCACTGTGACTTCCCTACCACAATAGCTTGCACCCTCAAACTGTGAGGCAAAATAAAAGAGTGAAGCCTTCCTTCCTGAAGTTGCATTTGCTGGGAATTTTGGTTTGGAAGCAAGAGTGGTAGCTCAAGCAAATGCCATGTGGCTTGGCCTTGCACATCACTGCAGAGGTGGCCCCGTCCTCCCTCGAGATCACATAGTGGCAATGTTACCCTGCTACTTGCTGGGGATGGCCCATACTGTGGCTCTCTATGGTCTCTGCAATGCCCAGGCCACAACTCTTTCTGTGGATGTAGGTGTCCTTAGACATGAGAATAGACCAGTGTTTCTCAACCTTCCTAATGCTGCAACCTTTTAATACAGTTCTTTGTGTTGTGGTGACCCCCACCCATAACATTATTTAATTGCTACTTCATAACTGTAAATGTGCTACTGTTGTGAATTGTAATGTGAATATCTGATATACATGATGTCTGGTTTGTGATCTCAAAGGGGTTGTGACCCACAGGTTGAGAGCCACTGGAGTAGAGGCAGCTCTGACCCAGCCTAGGCACCCTGTTGTCATTAGCCCGGGGTCAGCCTGAGAGCTATCCTCAACTCCCATGCCTCCTAGCCTCTGCTAAACTCTTACTGAACTCCATAGGTCCCCCAAGTCCCTGAGAGCAATCTCTTTTTCCCTGGTATCTGAACTTTCCTCTCAGGATTCTTGCTGTCTGGGTACCTAACTCCAGGTTCAGAAAGCGGCCTGTCTCAAAGGAACAAAGCAGAAAGCGATACAACAGGGCACCTGATGTCACTTGGCCTCCATGTACAGTGGCACAGGTACGATCCCCTCCCCCATATACATTCAACACACATGCATACCACTTAAAAACATACATATATAAAAAACAATTTTAAAATATCGTTTCTCAATTTGTCTTTCTCTCTGTTCCTCTTCCTAAGCGGTGGGCTTGATTTTAAATACTGCCATTGGAGCTCTGTGACCTAATGGTAAAGCCCAGCCTCCTCCTGCAGTCCTAACCTCCTGATGTCCCACTACCCCAGCTCCCTCCAGGCAGGGGGATGCTGCCTTTTATCTCCCCTAGGTTTTGGCCTGGGCTTACTTGCCTAGGCTGGATAAGAACCATTCCCTCCTCTAGGACATCACTCCCTTGGTGATGTCTTCCATCTGAAGATTGTCCCCACCCGGTCCCCTTCCTTTTATCCCCAGCAGTGGCTACTTGGCACAGTGACACTCTGAGCCAGGTATACCTGGGAAGAGCATTTCATGGGCTGTGAACAGAGCCTGCTGATTTGCATGGCTCTATCCCTTAAATCTGATGTGGAAGCTGTCACCTTCACACTCTTCTGCACCAAAGAATAAAGATTCAACTTTTCTAGAATCCCAAAAATACCATGGTGAAATTACATACATTAACATGAATATAATAAAATCTTCCAGTGGAAAAATAAGCTAAAAATATGCCCCTAATTATAAAATCAGTTTAGAAACTCACTGAGTTCTGAGACATGTAACCTTAAGCTAAATTCCCCATGTTCCAATTCTCATCATATTTAGGGCTTATTAGGCAGGCTATTATTAAAATCTCTACTTCCCTGACATTTTTCTCTGAATCATTCACAAAGTAAAACACTAAGAGATATTTCTACCTGGCTGGCACACAGTAGGTTCTCCATGCACGTGTATGAGTATTTAATGTTAAGCTTTTTAAAAGAAGCATTTAGTTTTTTTTTTTCCTGGCAGTTTGTCCAAGAATTAGTTGTGTCTTCTTTTGGGTTATAATTATTGGCCTTTTTTTTTTTTAATATGGCAACCCCCAGCCTTTAGGTATCTTTATTGATGCTTTCTGAGCCCTAGGTCTCATAGGTGGCTCATGGCAGAGCAGATTTGGAAGCAGGTTATGATGGCTGGTGTCCTAATTGTCAACTGGACACAATCTGGAGTCATCTGAGGAAAAGCCTCAGTTGAAGAATTGCCTTCATCAGGTTGGTCTGTGGGCAGATCTGTGGGAGACTGTGTTGATTATTAATTGATGTAGGAAGGCTCAGCAGTGGTGTTTCTCAGGCCGGAGTTTCTGATCCTTAGAGGCCAGTTAGGTATGAGATAGGGAGGGAGTCAGAGAGCCAGCCTGCAAGCAATGTTTCTTCATGCTTTCTTTCCATCAGCGATGGACATTATCTGGATGTGTAATGCAAAAGCAAAACAAAACCTTTCTTCCTCAAGTTGCATTTGTTTAATTCTCAACTCAACCCACCCAAGAATTACTGGAAAAAGTCTCCAGAAGGGATGGTCTAGGCCAGTTTGGCATGTCTGTAGGGGTTGTCTTGAT